TTAATTTATGAGCGATTGAACGTATTCCGAGTAGATTTATTACACATAATTGAAAACGAACAAACACGTTAACTCGAGTATTTTCTAAAAGCAAATTTTCAAAAATTAATAACTTTTATAATTGAACCAGTTTCGGTAGGACTTAATGGTTTAGATGTACATTGAGATCAAGTACTCTAGCGTTATACCAAGTAAATCGTCTAATTTTAATTTTAACGAACGTCAAAAAAACTACTCATTTTCTCAAACTTTGATGAATTTTTAAAATTCAACTACTAGTAAGGCCATAATAATTCAGTAAGATCCATAAGACCATAGTATATATCGCCCAAAAAAGTTCCATAAAAATCGGCGTAATATTTTTTTCAACGGTTAATTACAAGGAAACGGCTCGGTAGATTTTCACCAAAAACTAATCAGTATCATTCCCAACTAATATCTTTCGAACAGTTTTTTTCTTTAATCGATTCGGTAGAATGAGCTTAAATGTGGACGAAAAGTTTAACACTTTTTTTCAAATTACAAAGAAACGGTTTGGCAGATCGTCTCACAAAACTGACCAACTATAGTGCTCATTGAGATACATCGAATGACTTAAATTTCTAAAATCGGTTCAGGCGTTTTTAAGCAAACGTCGATTAAATGCCAAAAAAACGATACCAATTTTTGCAAACTTTGACGAATTTTTAAAGTTAAACCGATAGTGTCGTAGGGCCGTAATATTTTAGTATGATCTAGAAGACGATGGTATGTACCGCAAAAAAAAATTATAAAAATCGTCGAATTTTTTTTTTCAAACTTTATTACAAGAAAACGGCCCGGCCGATCTATACCAAAAACTAATCAGCACGATTCCCAACCAATACCTACGAACGGTTTTTGAATTTTCAAAATCGATTCAGAATTGCTGGCTAAACGTGGACGAAAAAGTTTTCACTTTTCTGCGATTTACAAAGAAGCGGCCTGGCCGATCGTCGCACAAAACTCATAAACCCTAAGTCGTCATCGAGATACATCGAATGGCTTTTAAATTTTGGAAATCGGTCCAGCCGTTTTTGAGAAAACGTTGATTTACGGCAAAAAAATTGTTCACACACACGCGCGCACACACACACATATACTTTTTCCAAATGTTAGTCTCATTCGATTCAGAATGGCTTGAAACGTCGAGAAAACATAAAATTAGCAAATCGGATCTTTTGATGAAAACATAAACTTCTCCTTCGGGAAGTTAACACATAATTAATATTACAAATAAAGTGTTTTACAACAAATCATTGGTCCTTCGAAAAATCAATCAAACCTAACAAATAGTAATATTTGTCGCCACATCTATAGTTTAAAAAAAAAATTGTTAAGAATTAGAAAGGTATTGGCATAAATTTGGAAATTTCAAATTAGACGCAAATAGTGTAGTTAGTAGGAAAATGATTTATCAATCATGAATTTTTTAAAACTCGTCAGAGGAAGGTAATACGCTACTTTGACAAGATTTGCAAATTCATATTCAGGATATTGAAAGTTTGTTCAAAGTGAATATATTTTATCGAGTAATCGACATTATTATTAAACAAATTAAAACGCGATTCTTCCGATGAATTAACATGTTTCAAATTTCAGTATGTTGCTACAATAGAAGTTTTCAATGATACTGATCTATTAAATAAAAGCTCTAAAATTTGTTTAGATAAAAAAGACATTAGAAATTCAGAATAAACAAATTTTAAAATCATTATTTAATAGATCAGTACCATAAAAAAAAACTTTTGTTCAGATTCTGAACCATTTGCCAAGGAAGTTTAGTTTGCGATCAACTCTTAGAGGCGGAATACGAAATACCTACTTCGGTAAGAAAAGATTTCATTTACTAAATAGCTTATTGAAGTTAACATTTTATTTAAAACAAAATATATACATGGTTCATGCTATTGTTTCCTAATAAGCTAGACGACAAATGGTTTCATCTTCGTTATAAAAATCGTCTAAAAAGTATTGAAACGGATTGGAAAATAATAATCTAGAAATCAATGATCAAATATATGATGAGAAAATATATGTTAAATCACAAAATATTTATTGTTAAAACATTTTAATTGCCCGAGGTTTTTCTCGGACTACGGTAATAAATTGCAAGTAATTAAAAACTATGTTGAAACTGATTAAAAATGCAGAATCATTGAAATCCATTAAATAACATTAAAATTATGAATATTGCAAAATCTTAATGAAAACAAAAATTATTTAAATTATTTCAGGTAGATAATAATATATATTCGAGGAATTGATTATTTTTATGGCTATAATTTGTAATTAACTATTTTATTCGCTGATAAAATAATTGACGAATAAACTGTCAAGTATGATATAAAGAAATTGTTAAATTATGAAATTTTCATTATTAAGTCATATTGTTTAGGTCGGAATATAAAAATTAATTTGATAAAATATTTTTAAAATTAAATTACCTGCACGTTTTTTAATAGCAAAAGTAAATCGACTGTCAAATAATTGAAAATAGTAGCCATTTTATAAAGTAAATTTCATAAAAACTGATTTTATTTTCAAATTTATCAATCGAATCACATCACTGCTAATAATATGTATTTTAGCATGATCAGATGTTTCGTAAAATTGTTCAATAAAGTAATTTTTATAACAATACTAAAAATTCAACTACTTTCATATAAAAATTGATAAATAAGATAATTTTTAAGGCAAAATTAAATTTGTTCGTCATGAATCATCATCGTCGAAACATGAAACATTTTAATTAACGATTTGATTGCTCGCAAATGATAAGTTCCATCAATTAATCATATATACATTCATATATTTAATTCAATAATTACTACAAATATACACAAATAATTAACGTGCATTTAATAAAGAATAAACATTGCATAAAGTGCGATGTATTGCAAACGGACTGTAAATGTTGAATTGAATATGTATGAATCTATAAATTCGGACAGATTATTATCTACAGATATGGAATTATGTAACACTCCAATTATTCTGCATTTAAAGTGAAGTTTTGTAAAACAAATTGTTGCGAATGCATTTATAGATCTTTATCAGACAAAAGTAAACTAGAGGTGTATGGCATCGTGCCTTAAAGCAAATTGCTGGAACTTCCCGTACCGTAATGAAATATTCGAGAAATTTTAAACGCTTTCAAATATATTATTACAAATACTGTAACTTTCATTAATTTTGCTATCTAGTCATATCTGAGCAATCAAAATCAAATGTGAACCATAAATCAATTTATCTCCACAACATTAACAACCGTTCGTCATTTCATTTCACTGAACTGTCATTTTTTTAACATTTAGCTTTGTATCTCCGAAACCGCTGGGCCTACCTTTGCCAAAAACTAATAACCACTTTTCCCCGTCGTTACGAACTGAATGTTTTTTGGATCATACAAATTAGATGATCCGTTCTCTCAAAAACTCGATTTCTATTTTCCGCACTCTTTGCTCCATATCTCCGTAACGGCTTGACCTGCCTTTGCCAAAAACTAATCAGCACATCTCCCTATCAATAGAAATCGAATGTTTTTTAAACCATTCAAATCGGTTGATCCGTGCGCCCGAAAACGTGGACGAAAAAAAGCGGACATACGAAACACACACACACACCCACACACACATTCATTAGTTTTCTGAGGTATGCCTTAAAATGTTCAGAAACCTCCAAAACGTCGAAAAATGCAAAAATTTTCATTTCCGATGTTCGGCCCATTATTATAACTACCCTTCGGGAAGTTAATTAAATGATCAAAGTAGTAATCAAAGTCATTCAATCTAATTTTAAACGTATGTTATGAAAAACATGCATGCAAATGCGTTCTAATATAATTTTGAAAACAATTCAATCGAAGCAAATACTAATATTGGGTCTATTGTTTAATTACTAACTACTCAGTAATATTATTGTGAAATAAACAAATACTGAAAGAATAGAAAAGGCGTACAGATGTTTAAAACATTTAACTAATTCATAAAAAGAAACCAATTTGCAAGAAAGTATCAAAATAAAGGGCTGAATCGCGAATTCCTTAACAAATTCATAAAAGAAAACTAATTTGTATGAAACTAACTTAATAAAAGTGTGAAAACTTTTAGAGAAATTAGGAATCATTTACATGTAATCGAAATATGCCAATGTTATCAGCTATAAATAACATTATAAACAATAGCGTAAACATGATTAAATTGAAATAAATACGTGTTATTGGTTTCATTGCTTGAAATCAATCATATTTCCGCAAATTTGGTGTGATCGAACTATATATGAGCATGCCATTTAAATAAATATCACTTACCACAGAGCCTTACAACCATTCTTGATTAGCTGGAAGTCAGCATCCATACTCCGATAATAAAAACTCCTTGAAATGTTATCACAAAAATCACTTCACACACACAACTTTTACATTGTAATAATACTATTTTCTAATAAACACTACAGCAATTGAAATTTGAACAAATATTAGTACTAAAATGTAAAGTTTGCGAGACTCCAAAGAGGTTTAAACTATTAACATGACGCCTATTGGACAAACATCTGAAAGAAATAATTATTATTATAAATCAATATAATAAATCAAATTAATTTCTATTCACAAATACCTATGACTCAATCCAAATGCATATAAATTGCCAGTAGCCTGATGTGCTGAAGAAACACAGGTTGTTCTGTGAATAAATGTACTAAATATAATGAAAAACAATAATCAAATCAATCACAATTTCTTTAAATAATACATATTTACAAACAACAACCAAATGAAACCATACAACAAAATAATAGTATAATTACCTTAACTTCAAAACTCTGATACGCACTAAGTATTCCAATAGTCTTCTAAATACAAATGAGTAACAATTCAATGTACTCGACTTCTAGTAAAATCTGCAAAATAGTATAATACTAATAATAGATATATAACTATCAAATTCATTTATATCGAGATTACAAAAACTAGTATAAGTATACTTATCTCAGATTTGGCCGATCTGCTTATGAATTATCTATTGTATAATGTCCTGGACGTATAAGTTGTTCTGTAAATTAAACAAAATGCTTATTATCAATAGTATAATTACATTAAAATAGTAATATAATATTATAAGTAACCGTATAATTACTGGTATAAAAAGAAACACATGAAGAGATTATATAAAAAATTCATTGAACACACAGAAATAATAATTTTACAGTTATTGGCCCATTTGTGTAATGTAAAGTCTACCCCCCCAAGTAATTGAATTATTTCCGTCTGTAAGTTAATTAAGTCCACATAACAATCCCTATCTAATATCTCGGACTATCGGGTATTGGAGAAATTTTTGTTTCAGCCTAACATTTTGAAACATCGCATAGCTAAAAAAGGTGCACATGCTTTGCGATAAGTGACGGTGGTGAGCTTAAGTTTCTAATTCAGACTCAGGTGAATTTCTCCAAAGTATAAGTTGGTAGTACTGGTCTGCTTCTCGAACTTTTATTTGTCTGTAAATTTTAACTATATCTGCAACAAAGACATGAAGATGACAGCGAAATCTAATCAAAATTGAAAATAGGTCTTGTTGCAGTTTTGCACCTATGTGTAGTGTATCATTTATTGACACTCCAGAACTTGTCTTGCACGATGCATTGAAAACCACACTGATCTTTTTATAATTTCCTTTCTTTATTACTGCATGATGTTGTATAAAATACGAGTCTACCGGGACCTTATACAAATCAATACGCTCTGCATGCCCTAACCTGTATACTCTTGGATGAAATCAGAGTATGCCTTTGCTAAGTTGGGATCCCGACTGAAACGTCTTTCTAAATTTTCGAATCCGCGTTTTGCTCTGTTAAACGACTCTCCTAAGCTGCCCCATTTAAATGATGTGAATGGTAAAGCAACCTCAAACACACCGTCATTCTTTCTGACTACATTAGAGACAGAATGCTCCTCACACAACCTATCTGACCTATTCAGAGCAACATTGTTTGAAGAAACTTCTTCAAGTTGCCAGAACTTGGACAGATTATTGTGGAGGTCTTCATTGGAGATAAACCCAACATAAGCGATAACATCAGAATTTTTGTAAATGCCACATAATAACCATCCAAACTGACTTTTTCTTAATACCGGCAAACAATGATCAAGCCGAATGCAACCCTATTGCAATATATCAAAATACAACTCAGCACTTATTAACAACTCGACGGGTGAGGAAACATTGAACTCTGGATCAGCTAAATCTACACTATTCGGTATCTACCAATCATGGTAGTCTATAAAGCTACTGGGTAGATTTTGTGTAACATGATCGACCACCACACAGTAAATGGTCCGTTGATACTCAGAAAGTCTGGATCTGATTTTAATTTTCCCTGCTTGCTGACTGATACATGATTGTCCCTGCAACATGTTCATCCTACTCAGCAAAACTATTGTAGGGCATTTCAGTTTCCTTATTATAGAACTGATAACTAAATTTATTTGAGAACCACTATCCAGTAGAGCCCTCACACAATGGGTTTTGCCATTTGCATCGAAAACATATAGAGAGACTGTGGAAAGAAAAGTTTGTATGTTATTGTAACTAGCTAAAAGAACATTGTTGCCAGAATTGAGTTGATTGGCTAGTTGATGGTGACGAAGAACTATTTTCATTATTAATTATAATGTTGTGGGGCTCTTTACATCTATAGCAAGTACCTTTAAAACTACATCTCTTAGCATCATGTGCAGGAAGTAAACAACGAGTGCACAGTGAATGCTTTAACGCCAGTTCCTTGCACCCTGAAATCTCCAAGTCCTTAAACATGGAACTTTTGTACATTGGATGACTTCCCTTACTACAATAACAACACGGAGATAGTACTTTTTTCACAGTACTAACATGAACCATTTTAGAATTTCCCTGAATGGGTCTACTTTCTAATTGTGGGTCTACTTACTTGTCCTGGACAAATTCCATGCCATGCGAGTATGGCTGTCAGCTTTCTTGTTCAGCATATACAACAGAATAAGATCGTAATGTTTAGTTGGTTCATATAGAGCTGAAAGAGCACGTATTTGTAGCCTCGCACTGCACAGAAAAGTGCTCTGAGTTTCATGTGTTCCTGTGTGTATCTGGGGTATGTTGTCAATCTGCTGCAAATCGAAATTCACTATTAAAAATTTATTGTCATAAGTCTTACACAGTAGCTCATAGGCCATAGTGTAATACTCATTCGTTAAGCTTAAAGATGATATTAGTTTTGCAGCAAACGATAGTAGAGCTCCCTTTAGAGAGTGCAACTTTTGGACTTCCAGCAACTTTGTGTTATTGTGAATTTAGGAGTTATAAAGATCTAATAAATTGGGTCCACTCAACTATAATCACCGTTGAACTTGAGTACGTGACGTGATTAATTAACTTATTCTATTTGTACCTTACCTTACAAGTGTTGTTATTGTATAAGTGTCTTGTGTTGTTATTGTATAAGATGTGACATAGCCTTCTGTGCCAGGTGTGCTCCAATTCTCAGATGAGCCCCAGTAACACGAATAACAGCGATGACAAACTCTGGAGCCTCGTGCGCCTAACTTCTTCTCAAATGAAATCTGCGTGCATCCACTCAATTCACCAATAATAAATATTGCTGCTCTATTGTTGAGCTTGAGCGTATTCAATTCTTGTTTTTAACGTGAATAGTTTTGAGTTTCAACCATTTATGAAACTTTTTATCAACTTTCTTCACGGCGAAAAAATCGGCGTCTTTTTATATATATTAGCACTGATTTTATTAATATTATGCGTGATGAAGGACCAAACTTTATGGTATAAAAAGAAACACGCGAAGAAATTATATACAGAATCTATTGAACACAGAAATAATAATTTTACATTTACGAAGACTTGTAGAATAGACGGCGGCTTAGACATTAGACAAAAGTGACAGAACAGATTGTACAAGGCATGCAACATGCAACATGCAACATGCATGCATGTGCAATCCTATCGTAAGACACTCTCCTAGTAGTGGGAGCGGCGCGAAATTTGAATACAAAATTTAATCGTCCAATAATTGATTTTCGTAAAAAAGATCCTTAATATAACGTATCTATCAGGCTTTAATCTAAAAACTCCTTCCGGAACTTTCAATCATTTTTAAAAGATTCCAAATTTTCAAACAAGTTTGTAAAGAATAAATTGGATATAAATCATTTTCAAAGTTCACTTCAAGTGATGTAACTAAACTATACAAAATATTATTTATGACATTTATGATTATCACTCTTAAATTTTCAATTCTATACTGTTACAATAAAAATAATCTCTTTTATTTATATACTTTTATATTTTTACCCTGTTTTGTTGCTGAAAAACCGGAACAAATCCTTCTAGCAATATATATAAATATATAAAGCGAGAGGTTTTTCTTCAGATGGTGAAATAATATAATAAAATTGTTTCTTGGGCATCCATCCAGTAATTAAAAACAGTTTTAAGTTACTCGTAATACAATTTCCAAACTGACAACATGTTCGTTTGGAATAAGCTTTTTTATAATAAAATGTATCATTTATTTTAATTTTACAATTTTTTAAAATTTTCATAACTCGACGTTTTATCAATTTTTTATTTCATATTTATTTTTTTCGTGCAATTGTATGTGTTTTTGTGTTATTTTTCAAAGTTTATTTGTATGCACTGAAGATGGGTCAAATCAAGACCCGAAACGTATGTTCTCTAAATAAAAACATTTTTCATTAAAACTGTTTTTTAATTACTGGATGGATGCCCAAGAAACAATTTTATTATATATATATATATATATATATATATATATATATATCTTATATATAAGTGGAGCTCTAGATGAAATAATCCGCTAAAACTCGAAAACGGCTAAACTTTACATTTTTAATGGGCACAACTAGTGTAACCGCCTAAAAAAGGTGATTTTTGGGAATTTATATTAAAAAAATACTTTATCAATCATTTCAAATTTCAGGAATATATTTACACATGTTTTAAGAATACATAGTAAATTTTTGAAGAAAAAAATTAAATATTTTTTAAGTTATAGTCGATCTCCAACGACGCGACAAAAAGGTCCTTCACTGCTGCAGTAATTTCGGCCATCTACGTGGATGACATTTAAAAAAAATCTCATTAACTAGATAATATTGTCTGTAAAATGACCTACAAAAAAAAGAAAAATTACGTAAGATTTCTATTCCTATTTTTAACAAAATAAGTAAAATCAAAATGCTGTTTTAATAAATATAAATAACAAAAAAAAACAGAATTGAAAGTTTTACTACTTTAGAACATTTTGAATTAATTTGCTATATTAGAAATAATTTAGATGATAAAATTATACTGACGTCTTTCATAGATTGATATTTTTTAAACATTTGCTTGATATACAATCCTGTAAAAAAAACTTATTAAAAAATTAAGATGTAATAAAATTGAAAGCTAAGGATAATAAATTAAAAAAAATCGAAGTAAATTCTAGTTCAAGATATTTATTCCTATATTCTATGGGTAAAAAAAATTCTAAATAAATATCCATAGTAAACGAGAAATTAAAATTTAGGATTCTCATTATTGTATCTTGAAATTGTAAATAACATATAGCTTAAGAGTATCATTAATTTTGTAATAGACAATCAATGTAAGGTGAATAAATTTATTTATTAAAAACAAGCTATTTATAAATATAAATATGTATTAAAAATTTGAAATTTGTAAACAACCATTAACACATTTTATAAATTCATACTAAAGTGCATTCTCAATAATTAAATTTTTACAAGATTAGATTAATTAAAAAGGTTCAGAATATACTCTATCATTTATTTTGGCATACCGGTTACTATGGCAAATAACTTTTTCTTAGGACTAATCTCAGCATAAGAAAACAAGCAAATTATTAAACTAACTTTTGAATAAGTTTCAATTTAAATTTGCATTTAAATAATTAAATCATCAGTAACTATTCAATAATTATGTGATGAAGCAATATGCAGCAATGGAACGCTGATATTTTTATGGTATCGAACCAATATTTTATGACAAAATATTGCAAAATCGATAATATCATATTATTATGGATTATAATATTATGTCCAATTATAATATTCCTATTAGTAATAGTAACATATGTTACAAGTACTAAAAATCAGGTTAGTTCTATATTAGTAAAATAAAAATTCAAAATAAAAAATGAGGGAAAAAATACAATTGGACATAATAGTATAATCCATAATAATGATATTATCCAAACCATACATTTGTTCAAAACGTAATATAGTTTAGAAAAAATTTAAATTATTTATTAAATAATAATTTTACCTGAAAAAATTTGAAGATTTTCAGATTGAAAAACAAAGATTTTCATTACACATTTATATATTAATTAAATATAATTAATAAAATAATTAAATTGATAATTATTATACTTATAGCTAACAATAAGATGCAACTATTTTCCACACCACCCAGGAGGTATAGTTGCCAGGCGCGCTTTTTTTAATGTGGTGTCGCCGTACAAATTGAGTACAGCCCTAGTCCACTTACAAAATAACTTAAATTAATTAAGTAAGCTAATTTACTAAGCCTAACTTAAATGATAGGAATATAACATGAAAAATACCCCACGAGATGATTAAATGTATATGAAGATCTTCTTTAGAAAAAAACCGTAGACGATGCAAGAACCTGTTAGAAATTAAATGTAAAATTGTAATGTACTGTGGTAATTTGTAATTAAGAAAAAAAAAAAAAAAAAAAAAAGTATTTACATGATGTACCCCCCTAAGATCCACCATGTAAATACTTTAACTTCATAGGTTCCCAGCACTATGAAGCTTATAGAGGAGTGCACTTATAAAGTTCATAAATTTGTGTATTAAGTATTGTTATATGAATTAATTTTAAATAATTGTGAAAAAACGCAAAATCTATGCGAACTGGAAGGTCCTCGCCGTCTTCCCCACCCATTTTTAAAATAAAAAATAGTGAACTACCAGCCTAATGTATTCTAGCCTAATTTTAACTTAATAATATATCCATGTGTACGTCTTCCAATTTTGTAGGCAATTTTCTGGTTGGTTCTAATCTTGTATGTATCTTCATCTCGTATGGATCTTGATCTTGATGTTTCACTGTATGTATCTTGATCTTGAACTATATCTTGATCTTGAATTGTGAATATTAAGGTTTTGCACTGTATATATCATGATATAGCACTGTACACAACACTGTCTGGCACTGTATATGACACGATTTTGCCCAAGATATATCTTATTTATAATATGTATATAAATCCGTTCACGAATCAAATATAAAGAATGAACAACGTAAATGGGGCCCCGATGAAATAATATAGAATATGATTGCAAAAAACTAATATCGTCTTATCTATCTTAGCAAGTAGGATAGATACCATCTTAATATAACAAAATAATATAGAAAATGATCGCAAAAAACTAATATCTTCTGATCTATCTTAGCAAGTAAGATACTCATCTTAACATAACGTTCTCCTGGCGCTTCTGGTGATAAAGTGGTCCATCCTACTTAGTAAAGTGATTTATCTTAGTAAGTAACAAACTTATCTGAATATAACAAACGTTCTCCTGGTCGTGTGCGCTCCTGGTTGCAAAGTGGTCCATCCTACTCTTGTACACTGGTTACCACCAACGTCCTGGTAAACATTCTTCCGTTCTAGTAATAGTAATAGTGTTTTCAGGATCTATTCCTCCGGTAACTTCTGTGTTCAACCTAAAATTAAAATTTTATTTAATTCTATCAAGATTAAAAAGATTTGTATATAGCTCAGAGTTTCGTACCATTTCACGAACATTGCCAAGTTTAACTACTTATAAATTCAGCATTCCTCTACCAGGAGACTCATTGTGCGACCAGTAAAAGTAAAGTTAATTCATGAAATTGTGTTCATTACATTACGACACGAAAAGTAATCAAATTAACTTTTTAAAAAAATATAACTGAATGTTATAAATCTATAAAAAAGTTACTTCTTTCCATGGGCCACTTAGCAAACCAATAAAAGATTAAATTTAATAATAATTATAAAAATAATAGCACAAATAATATTAATTATTAAATTAAGTGCATGGGGTTGCGGTGCTTCTGGGAAAAACAACGCAGGGGCCCATACACTCAGGCATATAAAACAAAAATTAATCAATTAAATTAAATTTAAATGTGAAACCCGACTACTTGGACCTGCCGTGGGGGGTAGGCGGCAGGAACGTAGCTTCAAACGCGCAATTTTCATCATAATACGTTCGTTCGTTTTTCGAAAATTAAAAAAAAAGTGTGTACCATGTACTCGAAATAACGCAAAATGGTAAATGAAAAATTACTTTTATAACTATATCAAATAAACTAAGTTACAATTAATATCAAAAAAAGTTTAATGCACAATGAGGCTCCGAAGTTATTATCACTGCACATAGCACTGGTGGCACTGTAGAAAATCTGAAAAGAAACGAACTACATTAAAAATTGATTAAGCAACTACATTAAATAATTATAACAAGTCAATTGCAAATAATTCCGACATAAGTTCAAATATAAATTTTAATGTTGTAATAGTTTTCTAATTCTAATCTTTTTTTCATTATTATTGACTTTGTAGTCAAATATATTAGCCATTTTCAATTAAAATGATTTTGTACAATTATTATGCAATATTCATAGTTTAATGTTATAAGACTTAAATTTATACATATACTGCATTAGTTCTTATTTCTATTTTTAATTTAATAATTCAATATTTAAATCAAAATGTATATTCAAATAAATTATATAAAATTGAATTTTATGTCATAAAATCATACCTAAACTCTACAGTTGGAATTATTTATATTTATATAATATAAAATATATACAATATACATTAGATATATATATATATATATATATATATATATATATATATATGTACTTGCGCTTTCATTGATTATTTTATTTTTATTGATATATAATTAAAAAAAAAAATGAAAACCGTTTTTATTTATATTATTGGATTTACACTATTTTCTATATTTTAATATAATTTTGGCCGAAGTGTTATTTCAAAACCATTACATCAACTCTTTGGCAAAAATTATTTGGAAATAGAAAAAATAACATAAATCGATTTATATAAATAATGAACAGTTTCCATTTTTTTATTTATAATTCACTAAATAAAATTAAAAATATCAAAACACAAGCAAACACTATGCATAAATCATATATTCAAAAAACTACTTGAAAAAGTTTTGGAATAATATTAATTATTATAATTGACTTACCATTCAGTGTAGTATCACCACGAGGTCCCAACACAAAATGAGTTAACATGGTTTCTGCGCAAGCTTTTATGGGGGCAAAAAGGCGCCAAAACAATATAAATCGTTACCCGTTAATAGCTATACTCGCTTATGTCGTTACCAACATATTCAAAATCAAATTCAAATTCAAATCTTATATTTTTGTCATAGTGTTTGTTTTGGTTGTTATCTTATCAATAAATAGTTTTGGGTATTAGGCAATTGATAGCGCTAGTGTTGGCAAAATCACAGATAACCTGTCATTGTTTATTTACATTTGGATTTTGAAGAAAATAAACAAATAAATTCAGTGTTAAAAGAATTTGAATATCTTTTAGAAAGATCATAGTGATTATATGGATACATATACCTAATTTTAATTAAGTCATAATTTAGTACATTAATATAAAGTGAATCTCTGGGAATCTGTGTATGTTATTTGTCAAATTAATTACTCAATGTCTATCTATGTAGACAGATTGTAATTATAGAAAAATAAAAAAAAAAAAATTGTGTACTTGGAAAATTATAACATTAAAGATGAAATTAAATTTTGATTCATGTTCTATTATACATGTATATATACCTAACATTATGTATGCATTTAAACGTGACATATGCTAAATAACATGTACATTAATTATTTATTCTATTTGTAACCTGAGAGAACAGTTTTGACACAAATATGGTACACAAATATGTCAAATAACTAACCTAAAAAAATGTAAAATATAAATATAATAGAAGATACATTTTTCGTAAAAGCTTTACAGGACTTATATTAAATGATACGTATTAACAATCTAGTTACTACGTGTTACTGCAAGCAAGCGTTGAGTTAAATATAATTGTTTCCAAATTATATTACGTTTTAAAATGCCTCAAGGTAGAAGAAAAGTACCATTTAGCGGCAAAGCTAAAAAATTGCAACTACAAATGAAACGACAAGGCCAAAGTATATGAACATATTTTACCCTCGATTCTAGAACATATTAACAACATTTTTTACCAATTTAGCCTCAAAATCTTCTGTTCTACTGAAAACAACACAAAGCCAAAGCGAGGATGATTCAAATTGTCAAAAAATTGATTTCCACGCTTCTCAAAATAACAGAAACACAAGCAGATATGCGTTGAAGTTCAACAAGAGTCTGATGCTGAGTTAAAGAAGCAAAAAGAATTTCGGAAGAGCTGCTCTGGAAATAAGAGATCATAAAGCTTTGGAAATCGAAGAACACGATTATTTTAAGAACTTGGATTTTCCTAAAAGACCACCTTGGAACTACAATATGAGCTTAGAAGAAATACAGAAAAGTGAACACAGATATTTCACAGTAGATATTGCAACTTCATTGTCGGCAAATTTTAATTCTATATCATTTGCTTAAAATTGATGATTCATTTCAGGAGTATGTTACCGAGTTGGAAAAGAGCCATGAAAATTTAAGTTACTTTGAATTAAACTTGGAAACTTGGCGTCAACTTTGGAGAGTGCTAGAAATGTCTGATATTATATTAACAATTACTGATATCAGATATCCCGTAAGTGCACATGAATTCATTCATAAACTTTGGATTAAATATGTTAATACGGTTTTATTCTAGTCACTGATGTTTCCTCCATATTTATATGAATATGTAACAAAGGAGCTAAAAAAGCAAATGATATTTATACTGAACAAAGTAGATTTGGTCCCTGCTCCGTTAGTTTGCGCATGGTACAACCATTTCAAAGACAAGTACCCTGAAATGCATATATTGCTGTTTACGTCTTATCCGGGTTATAATGTTGTCAGAGGTTCAGCTAAAAAAACTGGTGCGTACCCCCAAAACCAATCAATATTGATTTGTATATTATAAATTCTTCATCATCGTTCAGGTTTGAAATCCCGTAAGCTCAAAGGCAGGCCCCAAATGTCGACAGAAGGTGCTGAGTGCTTGTTGGCAGCTTGCAAAACAATTGTTAAAGATGCTGTCGATTTATCAAGTTGGGAACAAAAAATTAAAGAAGAAAAGAATTCTTCAAGCAACTCCGAAGAGCTAGAAATAGAAACGGTGATAAATCAACAGACCCAAGACACTGCTTTTGTTGAGCATGAGCTGTACAAGAATGGTATTTTAACTATAGGCTGTATCGGTCAACCGAATGTTGGAAAATCATCTTTGATGAATGCATTGATGGGCAAAAAGGTAAATAATAATAATATATCACCTATTTACACTTGTAATTGCATAATTTTGTTTTAGGTAGTGAGTGTCTCAAAGACTCCGGGGCACACTAAACATTTTCAAACAATTTTTCTGACAGATACTGTCAGACTTTGCGATTGTCCAGGTTTAGTGTTCCCTTCGTTGGTTCCACGATACATTCAGGTGCTTATGGGGTCATATCCGATTTCTCAATTGCGTGAAACGTTTAGCACTTTGAGATTTGTTGCAGAAAGGTATAATAGAAAAATAGTTTAGTATATATCAGAATATAGCAAACTGTCAAGCAACAACTTTTTAGGTTAGATTTACCTAAATTATTGCATTTAATTCACCCCGATGGAGACGAGGAATGGTCTCCTTACAACATTTGTGAAGCATGGGCTATTAAACGAGGATTCCTGACAGCACGTGCTGCAAGACCTGATATTCATCGAGCTGGTATCAATTTGTTGCAGATGTGTTTAAGCGGTGTTATTTGTTTGAAGCTAAAGCCACCACATTATGAAGAAATGAAAGGTAATAGAATAGGAGAATTTACAATTCACAAGTAATAGACTTAATTAACATTCACAATCTATTTACCCAGGGCAATGGGAAGTCCACAAAGATTTGCCAGAAATACATAAAATTCAAGCAAGAACGAACCAGCCAGAAGTTGATGACGAAATTGACTTTGAAGACTTTTCTGAAGACGATGAGGTCAACGATGAAACCAAAACCATACCCAAAGGTTAATATGATGATCTTGTAAATCGGTTAGATAAAAATTAATTATTGTGTTGTATTTTAGATCAAAATGCCGATGAAGACAGCTCTGATTCGGAACTTCCTGCTATTCAAAATAAATTTGCAGCTTTAATGGACTGATTTAATAATGGACTTTAATGTATATGTATTTGAATATTGAATTTGTTGATTTATTATAGATATTTATTTGTAAATATATATATTTTTTGAGCAAAAAAATCAAATAAACATTTCATACTAATTTTGGAAATGAACAAATTCTATCTAATACATTTCAAATATTTAAAAAAAAAATCATTAATAATAATCATCCAACAGCAGAATTGACTAACAAAATTGAATGAAATTTGTTCATTTTGAATTATGATGTGGAAAAATGCTTTCATTTGCTTTCCAATAATGATCTTAATTTAGTTTACTTTGTTTAATTTTAGTTTTGGATTAAAACAGCAAATTGGACTGAATTTTTCTAGAACTTCACCAATTTGTTCAATTTATTGGTATAAAACGCCATTTTGTCGCACTTCCATGCAATTTGTATAACAAAAGATTAAAAAAAAGGACAATTGTACTTAAAAATATTCTTTTAACTTCTTGAAGTAAAAGTCTATTTTATAACAAATCCGATATGCTAATTTTATGTTATCTCGACGTTCCAAGTCATTATGTATCGTTTGACACATAAATTGAAAAAAGTATGTGTTTGTGCCAAAATTTGACTTTTTGTTTACGTTTTCTCAAAGAACGGTTGAACCGATTTAAAAAAAATCAATTGCTATTTGACAATATTCGATAAGGACAATTTTATGTTATCTCGACGTTCCAAGTCATTCTGTATCGTTTGACACTTAAAATGAAAAAAGTATGTGTTTGTGCCGAAATTTGACTTTTTGTTTACGTTTTCTCAAAGAACGGTTGAACCGATTTAAAAAAAATCAATTGCTATTTGACAATATTCGATAAGGACAATTTTATGTTATCTCGACGTTCCAAGTCATTCTGTATCGTTTGACACTTAAAATGAAAAAAGTATGTGTTTGTGCCGAAATTTGACTTTTTGTTTACGTTTTCTCAAAGAAAGGCCAAACCGATTTTAAACAAATCAATTGATATTTGACAATATTTGATAAGGACAATTTTATGTTATCTCGACGTTCCAAGTCATTCTGTATCGTTTGACACTTAAAATGAAAAAAGTATGCGTTCGTGCCGAAATTTGACTTACGATTTCTCTAAGAACGGCCGCACCGATTTAAAAAAAATCAATTGTTATTTGATAATATTCGATAAGTACATATATTGACTAGTTTTGTGTGATGATCGGCCGAGCCGTTTCTTTAAAACTAGCAGATAAGTGCTAAATTCTTTGTCCATGTTTTTGCAAAAAAATCCTGAAGCGATTTTGAAGCAAAAACTCATTTAGATCGTTTCTTCGCAATTAAAAGTTAATTTTTGGGTTCTAATAAAACTTACCTTGGCATATATGCCAAAGGTCTTTATAAAGAAATATTGGAGGCCTACGAAAAGCTGTTCATTTAAAAAAATTTAAAGTAATAGGCCGAGCTTTTTTGATACAAGCGTGTGTTTGTACAGTATAATTACATATAAGTTAAAATGAAACTTTACCTTTACTTTAGAATTTATTGAACATTACTACCAAATAACTAACTGTTTATTTCAATTATTCATTTTCCTACATGTCATCGACTTGTAATTACAATAATTTGTAATTTTATAAATAAACGACGCCATGCGTAAAAAATGGCACAAAAGCGTAATGGGTCATTTATTGGAACAAATAAAAATGAAAATGTATAAAATATATAGACATATATTGTTTAGAACAACATTAATAATTGTGTCATATACGATATTAGAAAATTCTAACTGTAAAATCGACATGAATTGATTTTAACGATAAAACAGTACAATTTTATATCGAGATTAGTATTTGAGGAAAGTTCGACAGTTGAATGTCGTAATTTGGTACACTAAAAAATAAGTTAATTAAATAAGATAATTGTTCATTAATAATAATCAGTTATGTTAGGAATTATATTTTCTTTACATTTAAATAAATAAAAATAAAAGTGCAAGTGTTACTAAATATACAAATCATAATTAATTAAAGTGGAGTGCAAGTAGAAATCGCACACCGAGGTATTTCTATTAAAACAAACATTAATTTTGATTTTAAGGTTTTTCCAGCCGAAATTAATTTCATAAAATAATCAATTTTAATATTTATCGTTGATAAATGCAAGCTAAAAATAACAAACTCAAAATCTGTAAAAGTATGTCTCTATTTAATTGCAAAGTGCGTGCAAAGTATTTAGAGTAGTTTGTTCAAGAATTTGTTATTATTTCAAAATTTTCTAAGAAATATGATCAATTTTAGTATTTTCCAACACAGTATAGGCATTAGAGAGTGACATACTCAAATTACAGTATTCCAGTGCATATAGTATAATTATAAATAATTTGTTAAACTGCAAATTATCACGAGTGCCAATGTTTTTGAGGGTACATTGTTCAAGTATTTCTAAATATTTTAAAATTTTCTGAGAAAACTTATTGATTTCAGTATTTTTTATCATAGTATTTATATTGGAAAGTATCATACTGCAGTTTCAAAATTCTAGTATGATTATTGTATTTTTAAAAATTAGTCAAACTACTAGATGTTCTAAATAATTGGACTATATATTTTGAGTACTTTGTTCGAGTTCATCTTAATATTTTGAAATTTTCCAAGAAAACTCATCCATTTTAGTACTTTTTGTCATAGTAGAAGTCTCGAAGAGTAACATACTCAAATTACAGCAATCCAGTTTTAATAGTATTATTTTGAAAAATAGTCAATCTGCAGAATATTTTAAATTAGAATGTCATAAATTGAGTATTTACTCTAGTATTTCTTAATATTTTGAAATTTTCCACTAAAATTTATCATTATTAGTATTTACACAAAATGTATAGTACGACACTAATTAATAACATTTTTTATTTCAAATATTTTTTAAAATTACACTATTTATACTAGCATGCTGGAATTTGAGTATGTCACTTCTTAGTGCATCTACTAAAACAACAAATACTAAAATAGATATGTTTTCTTGGAAAATTTCAAAATATCAACAATTACTCACACCAAGTACCCAGAAATACCTATAACTTATTTATAATATTTTTAGGCACGGCAATTAATTTTCCGATGATGAAGTTGATATATTTTTGCACCAATTTACTTCTGCTGATGCAAATAATTAAATCGAATGCCAACATTGAAAAAAACTTTACGTATTCGATAAAGTACACCAATGACGAACAAAACAGCAACTCGTCAATAGAAAATCGTGGATTTATTACCGATTATTTAGTTAATCCAGTAACTAACCTTTTTAGTGGGATTTATGCAGGTGGAACAAAAGTAAACAAGGTAATTTACAAAGAATAGTGAACTAGTTGTAAGTGGTATTTGCCTTAAGATAAATTGCACAAACTTGATAAATATTACTAGAATACAGATAATGAATATTATGTCCTAATTATAGCATAGCTGTAAATTTTGCTAGATTTTTGTTTATAAGACAATTCCTCAAATTAATTTTTTTATTATAAAATATAATTAAAAACGAGCAGGAAAATCGTTTTCCTCTCTTCGAGCTCTTTTCAATGATATGTCACATGAAATGTTGCTCGAGATTTGCCTATCGGCAAGTTGCTATTCTATTCGCTTAATAAATACACAGTGTATGTCTCAAGTGAGCGACCTTTCATTTGTTATTTAAGCAAGTGTAAATAATCGACTTAATCAAAATAGAACTGATATTTAGCAAATTTTGGGACAAAATTGTGTCATTGATAACACAAATAACCTAAATTTATGCTTTAAATAAAAACGGGACTCTACTACATGCAAAGTCTTTCCTTTCTTTACAAAAATGAACTACTATCATATATAATAATCATTGTCATATAATATAACTTATATTTTACAACACATATAGAAATCGTTATTTTTAACTCAATTTGTGCGTTAATAACAAAAAACAACAGCAACTTGCCTCAAGGCAAATCTCTAACAACATTTTGCATGTGACATATCATTGAAAAGGGCTCGAAGAGAAGAATACGAATTTAGTATTTGCTTTCATTAATACTTCATTACAAATTCAAAATATGAATTATTATTAAACTGAATTTGTGACTAAACTAAGCACATTTAGCATGCGAATATAATTCGAAAAGAGGATCACAAATTTATAATTGTTTTTATTTGACACGTCACACGTCACAACAGCAACTTGCCAGTAGGCAAATCCCAGACAACATTTTGCTTGTGACATATCAATGAAAAGGGCTCGAAGAGAGCAATACGAATCTAGTACTAGTTTTCATTTATACTTCACAACAAAATTATTATTTTTCTTAAGACTAATGCCACTCACACCTAGTACTTTTTTATTTTTTTAGGACAACCAATATGTTCAAACAACCACAACAACACGTCGCCCCTACATTTTGGCCTACAATCCCTTCTATTACAATTTGAACCATAATTACGACTTGTCTAAAAGTGATGAAAGTGATGAAGAAACTTCTTCTGATGAAGATGACGATGTTAATGCAAGTGAAGAGGAACAAGTCAGCGGAGAAGAGTCCTTCAGTCAAGAATCGGAAAGTCAATATGAAAGCAGTGTCGAAGTAACAGTAAGGGATATCCGTTTTTGTCATTCCCATAAGGTTGAGAAGAATAGCAAAAATTGTATTAAATTGTCTGAATATGTTGTATATGGTATGAATATGTTGTAAATGTCTGAAAATATTGTAAAAAGTCTCAAAAAAAGTGAAGCTTTCGTAAGAAATATAAAAACATAGAACACAAAGTCTGTATCAAAAAAACACTTTGCGTCCCCTAAAAATGTACGATTACGAATATTCATATCAAAGTTGTTCAAAATTTTTCTTACGACAATCGTTTTATTTCAGCAACCACCCTTAAAAAAGCCGAATACACCCACAAGACGACCAAATCGTCCAAATTTCAGCACGAGGCGTCCAAATTATGGCCAAAACGATAAATATGACAATTCCAACACACATCGGCCTTCTGCAAGTTCAGACTTTGACACCATAAATTTAAGCACAAGTTTCAATCCGTACCAGCAAAAACCAAACAAGCACCAATACCACAATATAAATTACCACAACAGTCAAGAATCGGATTTCGAGTCCATTCAAGACTTCCAGAATAATCGGAGACCTCAAAATAGACCACAAAATTGGAACCATCAGAATAACGACTGGGCTCACCAAAGTTCTAATAACAAGCCGCAGAATTCTAGACCTCAAAATCCAAGACCACAAAATCCAAGACCTCAAAATCCAACAACAAGTTCTAAGCCGGCAACAACATCATCGGAAAGTAGTGAAGAACAAGATGACTCTAATATTTTTGAACAAATGGAAAGCATGGTCGAAACTGTGATTTCTGACTTTAGTGATGCATTTTTGACTAGAGAAGAAAATTTGGAAAATACCAAGAAAAACTTAACGCAAGCACAGATGAAAGATGGTGTAAATATACCCCAATCTAGGAAAAGACTCAGTGCAGTAAAAAATCCAACAAAACAGGGTTTAATAGGTGATTTGGAGACCCAAAATTTGACGCTAGTGAAACGCCAAACGGGCAAAATATCTGTGATGGATTCCAAAAGCAAAAACACACTTACTAAAGGAAATTTAGAATTTAAATATGAAACAGTATCACGCAAACCAGGCAAACCAGAATTTAAGACCAAAAGTGTACCAAAAACTAGAAAAGCCAGAAGTACTTCTGGGCGTAGTCATAAGCGACAAATGCTCTTTGAAGGATTTTTTGGCGACTACGAAGACGACGACAATACCCAATTTACTGCAGAAACTGAAAACGCACCAGGTAAACCAATTTTAAACACCAAAACCGTAATAATTTCCAATAATTACAAAAAATACATTTACCCAGGTTGGTTCGACACCATTTACGACTTCTCGAAATTGCTAGCACCATCTTACAACGACCTGCTGATACCAAGATGGCTGTACGGACTGTTTTTCGATAAATCAAAGGATAATGGAGATAAGTTGACGCAAAATGTTGTTGCAACTAATAATAATAATAATGATGGGAATATTGTTAGTAATTTGATCGATGACACAACTACTAAACCGTGGTACAGCACAATTTTTAAGCCTGTATCAGAGTATGTCTCGAGTGAGTATTAATATAGAGGTGACAGTATAGATGGTACCACGGGTATCGAAATTACCCAAATTTCATTTGAGACGAAAAAGTCTTGATAAAATTACGTTAAAATATTGAATATTGTTAATATAAGTTTAGATAAATCAATTGGTCAAATTAATTATCTATTTTAATACATTAAATTAAATTTTGCATTCATACGACAAATAAAAAATTACTGGATGACAAAGTTTTTTTTTACATTATTTTCAGACACGTTATCCGCAAATTACCAAGACGAATTCTCCAACAATCTACCAGGAGACGAATTTCTATTAAATCGCTATCGACCTCATAATTCCAAAGAAAAGCGAAAAACTTACGAAGGCTATCAACTTTTGCAGATTTTACCAAAAGGATTCTACGTTCTCGAAATCATGCTCGATTTGTACGACGCTTCGCAGGTCAGTAGAACATTTTTTTTTATAAAAAAATTAAACTTACCATCTTTGTTATTCTTCAGGAGACCAACATCCAGTGGTGGACTGGTAGACCTAAATTAAATAAAATTATAGACGTCCTGGTACCTCCTGAGTTGCTGAACAACTTCAAAATGCATCTGCAACATCAAAATGTAGAATTCGATATTAAAATTAGAGATATGCAGGTAATAATAAACGTAATGATATATATTAAGAAATGTTTGATATAAATTGTAGGCAAAACTCGAACAATATTTTGCATACGACATATCAATTAAAAGGGCTCGAAGAGAGGAATACGAATTAAGTGTTCATTTTTATTTATATTTTATAGCAAAAATTTTAATTTATAAATGTCTCATTTAGCATACACTTCAAGCTGAAAATCCAAGAATGTCGAAAAGGCACAAATCGTCCTTAATGTACACGCAAGGTAAATTCACTTTAAAAAAACATATTTAAACCATTTTTTAAAAATGTTTATTTATACTTTATATTTTCAGGACACCCCTTAACCTGGTACAGATATCACAGATATTTAGACATCGAAAAATATCTAAAATATCTTTCAGTTCGATATCCGAGTTTGATTAAAGTCGAAACTATTGGAAGAAGTTACGAAGGCAGATCTTTGCTAATAGCCAAAGTAATAAATTACTAGTAAATATGTATATACACATAAATCTAATAAAATATTTGTTATTTATTCTAGATATCGAAACCTGCGCAAAAGCTGCACGCTTCCCAAAAGTCGATAACAAATTCGAACAAAGAAAATCGCCACATTGACCCCACCGATATCGATACTGCCGATAATATCGATACCAGCATACAACAATCGAATTCTGATATTTTGCGACAGAAAGATTGGACGATTATATTCGATATAGTGCTGAAAATATCGATAAAGATAGAAAGGGATTGATGGAGGATGATAATAAATATTTCGATCAATTCGAACGCGATGTGTTCGATACTGACATTTTGCAGAGACAAAGGGATCAATATTTTAGAGATATGAGAAGCATAAATGAAGACAATGATAGTGTAAGTATTAATAGATAAGACTATTTAATATTTTTGCCACAAAATTCAATTTGTTAAATTTATGTTTTCTCCAAGTGTCGTTTTTGACGAGCTCTTCAGGCTAAAATGCGTGCACTAGAATCTGACAAATTATGTATGTAGTATATGAATATGTCTACTAAAATGCTATGTACTTGATTTTGCTGCTGTTTTTCCAAAATTTTAAAATATGACAAATTTAGTGATGAAGTACAAATTTAGAGAGTAGATTTAAGAATGCTGTTATAAAGAGCTCTGCAGGCCGTTTTTTTGTTACCACATGGTTGAAATTTGAGTATGTTATTTATTAGAATGTCTATTTTATTGGTATACTTTGATTTATAAATCTTTTCTAACAAAATTTTTAAATATTAATAATTTTATTAACAAAGTTCCTAAAAAATGTCTTAGAATTTAGTAATGAAGTACATAACGAGTATAGATATTAACAATATTTTAAAGAGCTCTATAGGGTGCTTTTTTTTCGCCACAATGTTGAAATTTGAGTACGTTATTTAATATAATGTCTAATTTATTGTAATATATATTAATTTATAAATCTTTACTAACAAAATTCTGAGATGTTAATAATTTTATAAACAAAAATCATGGGAAATGTAAGTCTTTGCGACTAACAATAGTTTAGTCCACTTTTAGAGAAAATTGTAACAATTCATATAGTCGGTTTTGATGAGCTCTTCAGGCTGCACCGTTTGCACAATATTGTTGCAAATTTAGTATGTAATATATAGGATTATTTACTAAAATGTTATGTACTTAATTCGGCAAGTTTTCATCCATAATTTTGAAACATCAACAAAATTGTGAGTGTACAAAATTATGAAATTATAAAATTATATATGTGATAACTTTGAAACCATTCGTTTAATATAATTGGTGTATTTGGCAAATTTATACAAAATTAACTTATCTACAAATTTTTGTAACAGTTAACAACCCTAGAGCAACTATAAAGTTTAAAACGCAGAATGAAATGAAATTTCAATAAAAAAATTTTTTTTACTCTATATGCTCTAACTTCTAAACCAATAGATTTATTTGAATAATGAATTTTACAAAATGCTTTGAAATTAAATCATATATAATTGCCTAATATTAATATGCCCTACAGCAACGCGGTCTATTATAAAACTCATTTGAAAAAATATTAGGTGTACAACTTTGCTTCCGCCATTATTTTGAGGAACTTATATTGCAAAAACGGCAAAAGCAAAGTTGTAATCGCAACCAGTGAAGATGCACTAATTTATTATACAAGCCATAACTTTAAAACCATTTGTTTAATGTAAATCATATATTTGGCAAATTTGGTCAAAATTAATTAATCTACGAACATTTCTAAGGATAAATAGTCCTAGAGCAACTCGGTATATTTTAAAATTGCAATTGAAATGCAACGAATAATTTGAGCTTGTTAGTATACTAGTTTCCAAAGTACAAGTATACTAGTTTCCAAACAAACTTTACTATGTCAAAGATTTTCGTCATACGTTGTGCATGGAAATCTTGCTTTGTAACTTACTATAGCACTTTATTTTTTGGGTGCATTAATTTGCTTTATCTCTTGTAACTTCTGACTTATACAGAATTAATTAATCTATAATATTGTTTAATATCACCAAACCCTACAGCAACTCGGTATACTTTAAAATATTATCTTAAAATATAAATTTAATCTCAGAGCATCAATTGTGCATTTACTTCTGCGATTTTGACAAACTCCTCAAAACAAAGTATTTGATTTAAAGAGTTGTAAATTGAGTATGTATTATATGAGTTTGTGTATTAAAATTCTATGTACCTAATTTGAAAAGTTTTCTTACAAAATTTTGAAATAGAGATAGATTTATAAGCAAGGGCATAAAATTTTCTTAGAAAAAATATTCTATGCGTCGCTTTTGAAGAGCTCTTTAGACTTCACCGTTTGAACTACAGTATTGCAAATTGAGTATATAGTACACAAATATGTCTACTGAAATGCAATGTACTTAATTCGCCAAGTTTTCGGACAATATTGTGAAATATACATATATTTAACAAATTTTGTCCAATTTTCAGATTCTAAGAATGCAAAGAATTCCAACAAAATACAGTTATATGCCCAGCAAATATTATAGGCCTAAGAAAAAGGTGCAAAAACCTGGAATATTAATCTTGGCCAATATTCACGGAAACGAATGGATTTCCAATTCGGTTGCCTTGTGGTTTATAAAGTCTTTGGTGGAAGGTCATGTCGAAAATGGTAAGATAAAAACGAATTTTATGTTTACAGTCAATCTGAATCGTTTGACAGTGAAATGGGAAAAAGTATCTGTGTTTGCTTACAGCTAGTTTATTTTAAATTCGGTCAGTGATATTTTTATATCATGAGACTTTATTTTGATTTTGCAAATTGTCATGTCAACTTTTTGTCAGTAGAGTTTTTCATTCTAGATTTGATTTAGTTGTTAGTAGTGTTCATATTTACCATTCACACCCAAATTTTGTTCATAAAACTAATTAAATACATTTGTACTACAAATATTTACATAACGCTTACCATGCGTATCCCAGCCTAAGTGAAAATGTATGAAAAAGCGTCGAGTTAGGTTCGGACGACATGGTAAGCACTCGTGATTTTTTTTAGAATTTAATTGATTAAGTCAATTATTTACAAAGTTTATGCAACTTGCCTTCATAAATTAACATTTACACCTAGTTTTTATTAAAAATATCTTTCTCAGGCATTCCAAGAGACATGGATATGTTGGAAAAATGCGACTGGTATATAATGCCGGTGGTAAATCCTGATGGCTACGAATATTCACATTCCAAGGACAGATTTTGGACAAAATCCAAATCTTTGTACAACATAAATGACGATAAGAGTTCCAGTTGGAATTTAGAAAAATTAATTGGATGGTAATAAAGCATTTGACTGTATTTAAGAATTCTCAGTCAATATTTATTTTATTTGAAGGAATTTTTATCCGTGGTTAAAACAATCACCGGAGAAATCTTCGACGGAAAAATGCATCGGAGTCGATTTGGAGCATAATTTTGGGTTGAACGTTGAAGGAACAAATAGGTATGTAAATAAAATTTAAAATAAGTATTAAATTAATTGCATCATTAAATTATTTATTATTTTATCTTAAGTTTAAACTTTATAAAATAATTATTTCAAGATCAATTTTCATAAAAACTGATGTTCAATTTCAAGTCCAATGATGAATTTTGTGGTAAAATATTCAATAAAATAGAATTAGATTAGAAAAATAAGTTAATTCCTAAAAATGTATCGTGGTATTAATTATTTATTTATTTTTTGTTACATTTTAGATGTTCAGATACATACAGCGGTCCAAATATTTTTTCTGAACCAGAAACAAAGGCCATCGCCCAATTTATGGCCAAACGTAAAAACAAGATCAAGGTAAATATATAAAAAATAAATTACTTTCCATTTTGTTACAATTATTTTCTAAAATTTAGATGTCAAAATTTTAAAATCCTTTCACCACGAGATTAATAGCAATTTGCCATTAAGCAATTCTCGAATAAAATTTTGCATGTGACATATCAATGAAAAGGGCTCAAAACGAGCGACAAACATTTAATATTTGTTTTTTACTATTTTTTTTAGTGTTAGTATTAGTATTTTTAGTATTTAATTTAGTATTTAAATATATAAATATTGAACTAGCAACTTGCCAATAGGCATATCTCAATTATTATGTGATATATCAATTAATAGGTCTCAAAAAGTGGAATACAAATTTAGTACTTATTTTGTTTTATATTTTGTGACAAATCTAAAAATGAGTACTATTATTTAACTAAATTTGTGGCTTAAAAATAGCAACTTGCCTGAAGGCAAATCTCAAACAGCATTTTGTATGTGGCATATCATTGAAGAGCTCGAAAAGAGCAATACGAATTTAGTATTTGTTTCTATTTATACTGTAATACCTAAAAGTTTATACTAATATTGACACAACTTAAAAGTGTAATGTGCAACTTGTCAGTAGGCAAATCTTGAACACTATTTTGCATAAGATATATTAATGAAAAGGGCTCGAAGAGAGGAATATGAATTTAGTACTTGTTTATTATATGTTATAACAAAAAGTTTTGTCTATTATATTCTAGCAAAATTTGCAAGGAGCAAAGTTAACAATATTTTTTCTTACTAGATTTTTATATCCCTAAGGGCCTCGGCCAAACTTGGGCCACATTCGACAAAAACCAAGGCAATTCAAACAACCAATTCGGATTCGAATCCAATTTAAATTCGGATGCAATGAGGTTAGCCGGAATTGCTCTAAGGAGCGTTGAACAAGTTCAACAGACGAAATATAAGAGTGAATTAATACATTCCAGAGGTAAAAAACAAAAATTTAAATTTTGAAGTATAACTCAAGCGATTCGATCATTTTCTAGTAGCAATTTTACATAACTGTTCCTTTCACTTTCCATCACTTTTTATTCATCCCTATTCTTTTCTCTTTATTTTTCAAGTTTTATTAGTTTTTTAAATTGATAATTAATTAATTACTGATTAATTTTATTTCAGGTTCATCATTGGAGTACGCAAGTGACATTTTGTCAATACCATATGTTTACCAGATAAATTTGGCAGACGGATACCACCAAAATGGGTACCTGTTGCCATCTCAAAAAATTAAATCGACGAGCATCGAAATTTGGCAAGGGGTTAAGGCTTTGGCCAAAAATTTATAGATTTAAAAATAACATAATTAT